AACCTGTACTTTCCCTCTCAGTGCTAGCTCATTGATTGGCTTCTTGCGTATCAGTTTCGGTCGTTCTTTCTTCAAGTCTAGGCAAACTTTAAACCGTACCATTCTATGGCCACTGCATCATACCTTGCCAAGCACTTCCACATCCTGCACGATGCCTGGGTGTGCACTCAGTGTAAAGTCCATCTCATTTTTATTTTTGCCATTAGGGCTCCTCCATGTCCGCTTACGGTTCCCTCTTTTTGGGTAGAAACTATTCAAGATCGTAAATTACGGCGTTCTGTGAACTATACTTGTAGCTCCCCTCTCGCATTTCTAGTACCGATGCCATAATCTCCTACTGCCTGGTATCCAGCCTGCTTCTTCCCTACCTTTGCATTGAAGTCTCCCATTCGTATAGTATACTGTTTGTTTACCTAACTCATTGCAGATTCCACGTTTTCATATAAACTTTCAACTGACGCGTCATCGTGGCTGGACGTAGGCGCGTAAGCCTGTACTACTTTTATCTTGTATCTTTTATTCAGTTTATGTACGATACCTACCACCCTTTCAATAATGCTATAGTATTCCTCTATGTTGCCAGCTATGTTTCTGTGAATAAGGAACCCCACTCCCAGTTCTCTTTTGTCAGCCAAACCCCGATAGCAAAGGACGTTCCCGTTCTGTAGCAATGTATAGGCCTCATCTGTCCTCCTAACCTCACTGAGCCCTATTACATCCTATTTAATGCCCTCTAGCTCCTCTAATAGTACAGCTAGACTTGCCTTACTAGATAAGGTTCTAGCGTTAAGCGTTGCCAGATTCAAGTTCCAATGGTGGCCTGTCCGGATCCAGAGATTCTTAGCACCCTCTGCTGCGTTGCAGATCTGACCGCCGCCGTGGTCAGTTGCTTCGCAGCTGCTGGGGACTGACGGCCGTGAGTCAATTGACGTATGCATGTGGGAGGTAGTGGCCAGATACTGCACTAGGGTGGCCAATCCTTCTTTGGTGAGAGAATGCATTACCGGCGGTGGTCACTGATGAGGCCACACCCCAGGCCTCTTAATGCAGTTCCATCACCACGCGGATTTTTTCATCCGGTTGGGAACTGCGCGGCACAGGGTTTCGAACCACGGACCTCTTCCAAGCGAGGCGGATGCTTTAACCACTACGCCATCACCGTATAAGAAGGCTTTAATGCCGATAGTAGTTTATGGGGAGTCTCTTGCTCTGGCACACGAGATTGCCTAATCAAACAGTTCCTGTCCTCTTTTGGCGCATGTATCCTGAATTGAAAAGAGCCTCTACATTACAGCCTACTTCTTCATAAAACCAAGCACTGTATCTCCACCGCTTCTACCCCTATTGCAATGAAAACCATGAATGTTCATTACCAGGGGCGTAACCAGAAACTTTTTCAGGTGGGGGGGGGGGGGGGGGGGCACAGGCATCGGCTTTTTTCTGCGACATCACTATTGACGGTAGTTTAAACAGACGGTGCACTGGTATATCAAATCATGAGATTACCCCTCTCCCCATGAGTATGGTGGTGAAGAGAGTTAGTTAAACTACCGTAAGAATGATTGATGATTGATTGATATGTGGGTTTTAACGTTCCAAATCCGCCATATAATCGTGGAAGACGCCATAGTGGAGGGATCCGTAAATTTAGACCACCTGGGGTTCTTTAACGTGCACCCAAATCTGAGCACACGGGCCTACAGGATTTTCGCTTCCATAGAAACTGCAGCCGCTGCAGCCGAGATTCGATCCAGAGACCAGCGGGTTAGCACTGAGTGAGTACCTTAGCCTCTAGTTCACGGCGGCGGGGCAGTACTGTAAGAAGTACTCTAAATACACTAAACGACAGGAACAGTGATCGTTTGGAGCAACAGCCTCTCGCCATACTATTGAATGGACTAATTTTTGAAAACACATTATTGCGATTATCCACCCGATCGAAGAAAACATCGTTATTCGTTAATCTTTATTAAGTGTAGATGTCATAGTCCTCATCGGGGCAAAGTACGTTTGACAGGTCAAGGAGGGTTCCGCTTACAACGACTAATGAGAGGTATACGCAATGTGTTTTTGTACATTGATAATTACATCTTGGTGTTGTTTACTTTGTTGAGCGAATTTCTTACTGTCGATGTCTGTGACTGCATGCCTATCGGGATGATTTTTATATTAATCTCTATATGTCAAGTCGCCCTGACGCAGTGGTAGCTTTTAGCAAACATTTTTTTTTTACTTTACTACGTGCATCTAAGCATGCTTGCGATACGCAATGGGTAATTTTTTGTAAGGTATGCTGCATGCTGGCAACACCATTTTGCACACGATATTTTTCGGGCAGACTTTCAGTTGCACTGTGACTATAGATAGCAATTAAGTACTCCAATCGTAGAGGTTTTATCGTGCACTCTGCGAGGGCAAGGTAATCATTGATGAGAAATGTTCACTCGGTCTCAACCAAACGTGCACGTGCGACTGGACTATTCCTACTCACATAAAACTTGGTCGCAGCGCATATGCGCTAAAACACATAAATACGCGCAAAAAATGCGGTATGTTTTTTTTTTCCGTAGCTCTCTTCACTTGTCTTTCTGAAACGATAGGGTTGCGACAAGATGTCTTCCGTTGTTTGCAAGCGGGCAGCCAACATTTCTTTTTACCTAAGCAGATTCAGAACTGTACAAAATATTTCCCCACGCAGTGTAAGTGCATTCATGTTTCCAGCACTTACACCAGCGTGAGCAGGAACAGCCTTGTACCACACAAAATCTTCAGTGATCGGTTCACCAGTGATGAAGGAATGAACTCTGGAGATGCTCAGAGCATAGTGCACCATAATCCATTTCTGAGAACGTGTGAGCTTCGACAAGAACTGCTAGTGCATGCAACACGAGTTTCCTTAAGCTCTATTTTGCACTGTTCATGCCTGTTGGTTGTCTATTTCAAGCATTCTGATGCGAGTCGCTGGAATTTCACCACTGTCATCACCTCGTTCGCATTCATTCATGTTTGTGGTATTTTATCACAACGCGAACGAAACCAACCATATCGCTAATACAGATTGTTGTTTGCCAAGAACTAGCCAACGTGGGTTTTCACACGGTCTGTTCTGTGCACTGTCCCGACGCTATCACTTCGTCTACCTCGAACTACCTACAGCATTATTGCCGGCCTGCTCCACGTAACCGTGACTCAAACAAGTGAAGGACACCTGAGGACAGGCTGATTTGCTTTCGATGTGAACGAGTGGGACACACTTCCCATCATTGCCGAAACACATGGACCTCCCCGAATCAGGCAAACGCAAGCTTCCCCAACTGTCACGCATGCCTTCATGCGACAATATATTTTTTCAGCGAGTCGGAGTGTGATCCCTTTATTTTTGCCGACCTATGGTCCAATCTACTTGCTTAGATTCATGTTCATATTCACGTCTACTCACACGTATTCCAAAGTAGTATCGTTCATACAGTAGTGAACAATGTGAAACGGCGACGAAGCAGCCAGGAAGGCAAGCTTCTGGCATGCCTTTACACTAAAAGAAACCCAACCAGCATCACTTTAAATTTTGACTGCCTCCTGCGTTCCTCTGGATCATTGGATCCATTGCAACAACATCACGTTTGTTTAAAAAGTCACAACTATCAGCCTACGTTCAATTGCCTGTCATCCTAAGTTTTACCAAGTTGTTGGCAAATTTCACACACACAAACCACACACCCACATCATTTCTCGAGATATTTTGTCATCACATTCGGTACTAATTCAACAAGCACTATGTGCACATACTCCTTAAAGTAACTGTAGCTTGCCAACTGAGAGTTGGATGGAACCCACCTAAAAATGGACCTCCTGACATAGAAGTTGCCTTACCCAATATCAGCCGCCTTTACTGCATGGCCGCCGACTCCAGTAGCAGTAGAGTGAAAGTAGTGAAAGCCACAGCAACAACAATGGGCATTCAATAATTTTCTGCTTGCTAGATTTAGCTGGGCCCCGCTAGATGGCAGCACCAATCCAGTCAAACCAGGCGAAAACGCAACTTTGAACCACTCGCACCTTTCCCCATAGTAACGCCAGGATTCTTTTTTTTTTCTATGAATAAAAAAAAATCGACACGCAACATTCTATTACGTGTTCTAACGTACGCAAGGTTCTTTTTTTTAGCTCAGCTTGTTTAATTACCAGTGTTTAATAGCAGTCAAATGCTCTGAGGTCCATGGGATCATTTCTAAAATGTCCCACTCGTAGTGCGCGTGGTGTCGTACATTCACCTTAATTTCTCAATTAGTAGAGCACCGCTGTTGATGATATTACCATTTTAGACATTCCCAAACATTGACTTTTCACTCTGACGTGAATTGTTATTTGCCTTTAGTGTCCCTCTAGGGTTGGCGTGTTTCTTTTTCTGTTGTTCATTTTTTAGCCCAATCGGCATGCACATTTTAGGGTGCTTACTTTGGACGTTTTGTAAGCAGGCAATTGGCTTTATCTGCGGCTGTTAGTGACATAAAAACTCTATAATCAGCTAGAAGCAACAAAGACAGCAGGCATTTCTGGGCATGGACAAGCAAAAAGTATGAATCCACCAAATTTGTGCAGTGGTGCGATTCGAATTAAGTGGCTTCAAAATACATTGAAAACATACCGGGCAAGCCAAAACACTAAAATTTGTTTGAATTACCTACCCAGAAGTTTGAATTAGCGATTTCCATTATTCAGTGTCTATTATAGTTCTACTTGAAACATTGCCTTAATGTAAACTTGCAGAGACAATGTGGAAGCGATTAATCTAGGTGCCAGGCACTGTTTCATTTTGATACTACTTGCTTGAACTATACAACGTCACTGCACAGATGTAAAGATATAGAACTTCACTGCACAGATGTGAAGCAGTGCTTAATTTGTGAAAATCTCCAGTTCACTGTATCCCGGCATTAGGCAGCAGGAACTCTAGTTATGCTGTTACACTGTAATGATGTAAACAAGAATCAAGCTCACAGTTCAGTTACATTCACTGTATTTTAATTGTTCACATTTCTCATGTGCTGTTTCACCGAATTTGCTGCAGCTCTTCAAGTGTGATTTGTCCATAGCAAAAATTCATGCTTGCCACAGTTATAGTAACAGAAGCACAGGAATAATGCTCTTATGTCAGTTGAATAATGCCTATGAAGTTCTTATGATAAATTGGCATAGTACTAAAGTGTCCCACAGCGAAAGATGCCAATCCTTTCTAAAGCCTTTTCCTGCTATTTCTTTCCAAAGAACGATAGCAATGACTGCTGCTTCTTGTCTGTCGACGCTGCCGCCTTCTTTTTTCCAGCTGGTTTCTCTGAAGCAGCCTTCTCTCTCAAATTCTTGGGAAGGGGATCTTCATCATCATCATCAGACTCACTCACAAGTTCCTTTACCAGCTTGGTTACTGCATCAGAAAAAATATAGAAACACGGAATTTATTTACGTATTAACGGCAAATCAAACGTATAGCAACCAATATTAAACATTCCAAGCTGCAAAAACGACACAGTATTTTTGATGACATCTTCAACAAACTATATTTGTTCATCCCTACAAACTGATATTCAGTTGCAATTTACAAAAAGAACAGTCAATACGTGCAGAGTTTCGAGTACTCATTGACTCTTTAAGTCAGGGGTCTCAAACACGCAGGCCGCATGTGGCCTGCTGACCTCTGGTTAGCGCGCTTGGCTCTCTCTGTAGGATATCATATATTTCCAAGTAAGTATGTTCATGGGATGACCAGTCTGAAGGATTTTTTTCCATGAGTCATCCCCTCTTGTAAGCATGTGTTGATACATAACTCTGAATTAAAACAAAGAATCGCAGACTACCTAAGTCATTTTGGGGATTAAGACCTGTATCAATATATAGTTGGGATTCCGGTTCCAAACTCTTTTCAGAAAAGAATATTATAAAGTATTCAAGAAGGGCCTTTCAAATGGCGTTGGGTCACATATTCTACAAACTCCCCCCCCCCCCCCCCCCCGCCTCCCGCTCCCAATCCTACCTCCTTCAGAATTCTGGTGGCCCCTTGCAGGGGTAAATTTCCAGGACTGTGGCCATCCAACTGAGGTGAGTTTGGAACCCCTGCTTTAAGTGTTTGTAACATAACATACGACAATGCAACCAAGTCGAAAACCATCAACGTTATATTTGCTTATGGCAGCGTCTGTACATTAAAAGACTCGAATTTTGTAGTTCTCTTGTGCCCAGCAAATGCTGCCACCGAATGGGGATACAGGAATTTTTTTTCTTCCGCCATTGACCTTCTTTTTCTGTTGAAACGTACTGTTTAGGCATGGTTCAGGCCGGTGTGCTGAGTATTGTTCGCACGCCCATGTCTGTGCAGTGGCTAGATTGGTTTCATTTTGTGAGCAGTTTCCACTTGATGCACTTATTGAAACTGATTTATGTGCAGTTTTTAATTTCTTAGAACCTGACCACTTGATCTTAGTTCTGTAAAACTATGTTGAGACGTCCACGTAAGGCAACCGATTAAAATGCCAAACAGCAACGAGACAGCAGTCAGTGGCCTCAAAACAACCATCACGAGCCTTAGCCACAACAAACGTTTTTTTCATAGTTTCTCCAGAAACGCCCATATTTACCACTACAATGACTCCCCAGTGGAAGAGGAGCCATCCTGGCGACATATGGCACAGGTAGGACTAGTGGGGCGTAGTGAGGTTTGAATCGGTCTACGTGCACAGTCCCGCACCCGCGGCACCGTTGATCTGTAGATATCTGAACAGGCTCAACAATGTAGTTGACTGGCGATGTCTGGCACAAGACCCAGTAAGGAGCGTCATACTTGGATATGAACTTTGAAGAAAAGTCGAGGGCAGACGATGACATGCAGAACCACACGATTGTTCCAGGGGCATATGACAAAGGGGATAAGCTTTGGTCATGAGAGTGCTTCTGGCAAGCCTGATTATTGGTGGTAAGCGAACGTGTGGCGAGCTGCCGACTTTGTTCGGCATAAATGGCGGCTTCGGCTGGAGTTTTACTCTGAAGGGCCTGAGCAGTACAGGAAATAGTGTCCAAGAACGAGGAAAGTTCCTGACCATAAAGAAGAAGAACAGGGAGAATCCAGTAGTAGATTGAATGGCACTGTTGAACGCATACGTCACAAATGTCAGTTGCAGTCCCAATTCGTGTGGTCATCAGAAACGTGCATGGAGAGCATGTCGCCTGGCGTGTGATTAAAACGCTCGGTCAACCTCTTAGTTTGGCAATGATATGCGGTAGTTGTTCGATGCGCAACGTTGCATTCGTGCAGGAGTACTTTGACAACTTTGAACAAGAAGGAACACCTGCAATCCCTGAGGAGCTCGCGGGGTGCTCGCGGGGTCAGAAAGTAGGTAGCGAGGAATTACTACCAGCCATTTGCGGCCATCAAACAAGTAGTTTCTATGGTACAGAAGGCCGTCCCAAAAGGTAAACTGGCAAGCAGTCCGTCAAAGTGAACCGTTGTCGATGCATAAAGACGCTCAAGCCAGGTACCCCAAGAGAGACTCTATCTATGAGTCCTGGCGCTGCTCAGAGGAGAAGTCGGCATGGTCAACATGTTTAAGTGGCAAACATTCGCAGCCGGAAAGAGACGCTGTAACATAATCGTGGGGTAGTGGCGAGTGAGAACGAGCGTCTGCGTCCTAATGCTTACGACCTAGCCAATAGACTACACGGATGTCCTAATCCTGAAGACGTATGACGTCAAATGGGCGGACATATACATAAGGTCCAAATTTCTGACATATCCATAAGGTCCAAAAAAGGCGCCCGGTTGCCATCAGGGGTCATCTATCGCAGCAACACCAAAGCATGGATGACAGCAAAACTCTTTGAGGAGTACGTGCAACTCATCGATTGTCATTTTGCGGCTAAGAACAGAAGAGTTAGTATTATTATTTTAGACAACGCTTCGGCGCACGTCGCCCTGAACAACCTGACGGCTGTGAAGTTGGCGTTTCTGCCACCAAACACAACAGCGATTGCCCAGCCCTTGAACCAAGGCATCATTCGAACTGTAAAACAGCTCTACAAGAAGAATCTGCTGCGCAGATTTCTTCTCGCCATTGAATGTAGCAAATTATTCTCTATCGACCTTATTGGCGTGATTTACCTGCTCGAATACTCGTAGCGGCAGGTTGAAGCAACGACAGTTCAAAATTGCTTCAAGCGTGCTGGCTTCAGTGTGTGTGTGGGCGACGCAGATGAGGCCAGTGACACCATCGACCAGACTTCGAACATCGTAGACGAAGCTTGCAAAACTCTGCTAGCTGAAGTGCTCGAGCGGCAGGACGTTACGGAAGGCATTTCCTTTCCCGACTTCAGAGACGCAGACAGCGATGTGCAGACATCTCCGGACATGTCTGACGAAGCCATTGTTGCCTCGGTTGTCGAAGTGTCGCCAAATGATAGTGATGAGGACGACATGAAAAGCGACAACACGGGTGATCCAGGTCCGACAGTGACCGAAGCTGCGCATTACGTGAGCGTCATGCGGGTATTTGCCGAGAAGAGGGGGCTGGTGGAAAAGCTGGCTAACAGCATAAGTGAGTTTGAGACCGCTGTCGTTGCTGCTAGGCCGCCGCGTCATCAAATGAAGATTACAGACTGTCACGCAAAGTTAATAAATTACTGCACGTTTTTTGTTTTTTCATCGCACTTCCTGAAGGTTTCTTTTTTTGACAGGTAAGTGAGCGACCTGACGCTATTTCGGTTAAGCAGTACTACCGTTTAGTATGTACTTTTCCGAGCTCCGGCCAACTACGATTTAATGAGGTTTCACTGTAAAGGCGCGACTAGCATATGAATTGACATACTCATCAAACCAGATTACCCTGGACGAGAATAGCGCTGTGGCCGACTCCACCAGCGTCCGCATGAATTTCGGTAGCAGCGTCTAGATCAAAGTGGCGTAGGATAGGTGAGGATGTCAGAAGATGCCGTAAAAAGGCGAATGCTTTGCCGCATGTAGGAGACCATGCCGAGATGTCTTGGTTGCAGCAAGTAGCTGTGTCAGGGGGGGTGATTACAGTGGCGAAATCGCACACTAAATGGCAAAAATAGAAACAGAGCCCTAAGAAGCTACAGAGTTCTTTATGTGTAGCTCGCCGAGGAAAGTCGTTGACAGCGCGAAGCTTGGCATGATCAGAATGGACACCATGATTGCTAACAACATGCCCCGAAGATGGTAAGCTGGCAGGTGGTGAAGTGGCATGAAATTCAACTGTAGTCCTACGTCCGTAGGACAAGTCAGGATGCTAGCGAGGTGACTGAAGCAGAAGTTGAGGTCCTCCGAGAAAACAATGACGCCATCCAAATAGCATAGGCATGTGTGCTGTTTCAGACCAGTGAGGATGATGTCCATAAGACATTTGAAGGTGGCAGGTGCATTACAAAGACCAAATGGTATCATGTTGAACTCGTACAATTCATCAGGAGTTACAAGCATAGTCAATGAGCGATTGGCTTCATGCATAGGGGCCCGCCAGTAGCCCAATCGAAGGTCTAAGCAAGAAAAGAACTCTGCTCTTTGCAGGCAATCGAGAGTGTCATTGATTCTCGGCAGCCGATAAACATCCTTTCCCGTGATCGTACAGTAAAATCTCGATGGACACGATTATGATCGACTTGAATTTTGGGAGGATGCAAATTTTAAAGTTCTTTTGGATGAACTGAATTATATCAAATACGCCCCAATTTGGTGTCATACAAATAGTTTCCCCAGCCACAGCAAATGATACAAATGTGCGATTGACCGCTGCACGTCAGCGGCGCAATGCAACTTGTCTGTGGGAGCAAGGCCAGTTCACTCTTACCATATAAACCAGACTATAGGTCGAGTGGATATATAGGCCAACCCCCCAAGTTCGGGTTACCGAAAAAGAAAAAAAGGAGAACAATCCAAAATTGCCGAACGACATTTATTTGCGAATTCGGCGCACCGCACCCCGATCGTCGGAGCTCTCCTCAACCACCATTGCAACTGTTTCTATTCGTCAGACGAAGCACCACTGTCTTCTGAAACCGAGAGTTTGTCGCTGACAGCCTCCCACAGTGCGTTGTCTTCCGTGCCATACAGCGAGTTGCTGATGGAACATTTCTTAAAAGCATTTTCCACCATGGAATCTGGCAAGAAACGCCAGGCGGAAAGCACCCAGCCACAAACAATCGCAAGCGGAGGCTTCTGTAGGCGGCCCGTCGGTGTCTTTGGGTTGTCGCCGGACATCCACTTTTGGTACTCCAGCCGCACTCGGTCCTTGAACGGCTTGTTTAGCACAACGTCGATCGGTTGGAGGGTGGACGTCATACCACCTGGTATCATGGCGAGGTCCGTTTTTTCATCCCCCAGTGCCCGCTTCACAGTGTCGGTTAAGTGACCACAAAACACGTCTAACACCAGCATGCTGCAAAGACACAGCAGTGCACCTGGCTGACAGTTCGAGACTACTCGTATCCATTCGAGCATCAAGGCGTCGTCCATGTCTCCCTTTTTGTTGATGCGAACAACAACACCGGGCGGGAACACTTCCTTCGGCATTGTCTTACGTTTGAAAATGATGAAGGGTGGAAGCTTTCTACCATCTGCCATGCATGCCAGCATGACGGTGACGCGCGAGTGCTCGTTGCCAGTGGACAACAGCTTCATATGCTTGGCGCCACACTGCATGATGGTCGATGAAGGCATGTCAAACCACCCAGGGGTCTCATCGGCATTGTCAATCTGCCCCAACATGCAGTTGTTCTGCTCCCGAAGCCGGTTCACGAAGCCCCGAAAGTTTATAAGCTTGTCTTCGAACTCGTCTGGAAACTTCTGACAGATGGATGTGCGCCTCCGGAAAGAAAATCCTTTGCGTCTCATGAATCGTCACACCCACAAGTTTGGTGCACGAAACTCTTCCCTCGTAAGCTCAGCTACTCGAGCGAGTTCCACAGCTTTCTTGCGAATGGTACCCATGGTTACTGGCAGCGAGCACGCATGAACTTCCCACACAAAGTTTCCTAGCGTATTCTCCAGCTGCGGATGAACCGCACTTCGCCCACGAAATGACATTTTCCGAGGATTGCACATCTGCAGCTTCCCTTTCTGCACACTCCAATAGCGCACGCTTTTTTTCTGATACATCGAAGTGCCGCTGAGCAGCCATATTCCCATTCGCTTCTGCGAACTCAACAACCTCTAGTTTAAATGCAGCTGAGTACTGCCTTCTCGTACCGCTACTTGTATTCAGTGTACGAAAAAAAGACCACTAAAAATGAAACACAATGTCAAGCATAGCGAGAAGTTAGAACAGATGGGAGGCAAATCACGAACACAAAAAACAGACAAGAGAGGAAAAAAACTACCTGCTATTGGATTTGACTGCGAATATGGCCGTGTCCTGCTTTTCATGCACATGCAAGCCACATACATGTTGCCAGACAGCGGTGCACTGTCGGCTACACACCGCTATATAAGACGAGAGGCAACTTTAGCTCCTTGTTTTATAGAAAATATCTCGACTTATATTCCGGTTTATCGGTAACCTCAAAAGGAGTGACTGCAGCACAACTCACCGAAATTTTCCTTGCTTTAGTGGCCGGGAAAACAGGCCACAAGATCAATTTTAAAAAATGGTCCAAGACCAATTTTTCCGCCATGCGACAGCAGACCATCTTTTTGCTTCACGGCTTTGGCAACACCAGCTGCTCTAGCTCTCAAAAAAAACCAAGTAAAATAAACAACGAGCCGCTAATTCGACGTGGCGGCAAAGGCATCGGCGGTGGATCCCATTGGTGCCATCACGAATTACCCGTGCAGTACGTCAAAGCTCAGGGCTTTGATAACGACGCGTTCATCGAGGGCCTGGTTTGCATTACGATCACTGAGAACACCGGAAGTAGAAGAAGGTGCAGTAGCAGAGAGTCAGCATGCCCTAATGTGTCTCTCTTTTGCACTGCCGGCTGAATTCGTTGCTGACGCTGCATCTGCTCGTGCCGTTTCTGCTGGCGTATCTCCTGAAACAACCTTTGTAAAGGTTTAAATTGTTTCTTTTCAGTGCTTTGTATGCATAACTAGAACTCGGTATGAACTTTAATGCTCAGGAAACAAGCAAAATGGAATGCATATTCAAGTGGCAACGACAGTGGCATGTACGAGGGGCACAACAAATGTGAAAGTTTTCGACGAGCGTGGACGTGGTTTTCAGGACTCCCTGGGGTTTTCGCATGAATTCTTCGGTTTCAATTCTGCAAGACTAATTTTTTTCCTGTCGACTGTGTTTTCTGCTTTGTTTCTGCACTACTGTGCTTGCATGGGGCTGTAAGCAAAGAGGTTTCTTGGCGTACAAAGAGGCACAACTTTTAGATTTTGATCAATGTCGTCCACAATCGCTCTGCTCGCAACTGTTCAGCATAGTTGTTAAAATATATTTCGACATATATTGCATTGTTTTGAGATACACTGGCCTGGTTTAACACTGTTCAATCATCAACGGCACTGGCTATCTCACGAAAATAAAATAAAAAAATACATTAAAAGCATTTTTTTTAAGGATCAAGGTGGGAGGGTGTGTTCACATACAAGTGGGTTCATTATACGAGTAAATACGGATAATTCTTGCCATAATTTTCTTTTCCCCGAATTGTATGAAAAAGGTTATATCGTGATTGCACAATAAGCAGTGCATAATTTTAGACATGTTGTTCATGCATGCGAGCTCACCCAGAAATCCTTCCTCGTCCTTGAAAGTCTTCTTGACCGACTTCATCACTCGTCGACGCTTCTTCTGACCACCTTGGGTGCCCGAGACTGGCGAGGACTTTGCCGAAGATTTGTCGCCCGCACTTGTGGCAGCACTGGATACAGCTGCAACAGAATCGATTTAAATATGGGACTGAGCCCGGCACGAAGGTACATAGTAACATAAAAGTGTACTCATCTGTGTTTACACCACAGCCCGTGTCGTCTTATTCGCCCCGAGACCGGGATATAGGTGGCAGCACCGTCACGGCGCTAGTGTGGATAGCCAGCCGGTGGCGCGCACACAAATGTAAGCAGCAGCACTTTTTTGTGAGCGGTGTGAGCCGATTGCCGGCAAATAAAATGCGTTGAACGCAGTCTACTCGCAATAATATGTATGTTGTTCATTGCTGAATGTATGCAAGAAGCTCGCCAAACGTTACTACCACTTCTGAGATACACGCAATCTGCCATTGAAAGGGATGTTTGCACTCAGCGACTGTCTACGTTTGCGCACTATGTTACGTTTTCTGTATTTTATTTGTAACTGTTGAGTTTGTGTCCCACTTACTACAAACTGCTGTAGTGTGACTGAATTCATTCTTTTCCGCATGCATGCTGGTCTTGGATAGCAAAAATAAATAAATAAAAAACTGATGAAGGAATCTCATAGTCTTGTGCGACGAGCTAAAATAACCGCGAATACCCAAACGCATCTCTTCTAATTCAGTTCTTGAAGTGACTGTACGACCATTGATAAGCTTGTCCAGGAAGATTACGTGGCTGACAGTGCTTCAGTGCACTTGTTCCTACTCTAATAGCATTACAAAAAAGTAACAGCTCCGTACGCAGCTTTCTTCGATTGATTATCTGCATGACAGTGATGCAACAAAGGTTCAGTTATTCAATGGGAGAAACGTATTCCTTTTTTTAAGTGAATGACGTCCGCTACTTCTGTCACTCTATAACAATACCACAAAAGTGCTCAAAATAATGTAAAAGAAGATGATGTTTTGCATAAAATTATTTCAACATTGCACCAATATGAATAAAAATTATTGAGACACGCTGTCTGGATCAAGTTTGACCATTTGTACTGCTTCTCTGTTGGGCTAGGAAGGTTTTCAGCTACTTGTACATGAAGAATGTTGATACAAAATGGAGGAAGCGAACCAGAAAATTGACTGGTAAATACTTGGAAAACAGCAGCGGGCCAAACCAAAAAGAATTATCGGTTAAGAAGAAAGTGAAGGAAGCTGAGACCGATATGTGGAGAATTGGCATGATTAAGAAGTCCGCACTAGAGATCTATCGAACTTTTAAGCAAGAAATTGCCAAGGAAAGGATCTATGATAACACTCGCGGTAGTTCTCTACTGTTTGAGGCCAGGACGGGAGTATTGCGAACCAAGACATATCGGGCCAAATACGAAGGGGTAGACATGGTATGCAGTGCGTGTTGGAGAGGAAGAAGAAACTGCCGAACACTTGATAATGTTTTGTAAAGGGCTTCACCCTATAGTTCAGGATGATGGCGCAGAGTTTTTTAAAGCACTGGGGTTTAGGGACATTGAGGGCAAAATAGACTTTAAGCAGGTAGAATTAACTAGAAGGAGGTTGTCTGATTGGTGGCTAAAGTCAAGACACGAGTGAAAATTAAACCCTTCACTGCAGAGTGCGAATCCTCAACCTCACTGTTTAAGGGAAAAAAAAATAAATCTAGTTTTTGGTTCATTGAGTATTACGGCTTGGTGGTGCTAGCGGCCGCCCGATCTAAAGGGTACAGCCATATCCATCCATCCATCCAGCAGTCCAACTCATGCTAATAGAGCTGGACAAATCACCCTTTAGAGTTTAACATGGCGTATGCGCACATGCTAGCCATACGCGGCTAGCAGACGACGCAGGAAGCAATCCACACTAGGCATGCTTCAGCCAGTGGTCACCAGGTAGCAACTCTGCTTGATCATTGGGCGGATAGATTTTAACAATTTTCTTTGCTGCCAATGTAGTAGCCAATGTATTTTTTTTTTATTTCTCATTTTCAGGACATGCATATTATTCTACAGAAGTAACTAATTTCTACACATTTCTTCTCAAACAATGTCCTCTAGATTTCCGAGTACACCAGCATAAATGTAAGCAAACTTGATTTATCATTTTTTTTTAAATCAATGAGTGTGTAATTTTTTTTTTTTTTTTATGTTCACACGACCGCATTTCAGAACTGCAGCTACCATGCAGTTGCACCTTTCCACCATTCCAGCGTCTCCTCTATTTTATCAATGTCAGCCAGATACCCCGAATTCAGCTGTTCATGACCCTCTCCTCTTGCCCTTCCTTGCTCTCGCCCATCACCTAGCCTTCGCATCTGCTTCAAGGTCATTGGGAAGAGAGCCCCTCATGCAGTGCCTCACGCCGGGAATAATATAAATTAATTTTTTGTTCAGTTGTGTACAGATTCGCGAGGCGACGTCTTAAATTCATCGTGCTCACAATGTTGGCGGTCACGCTGGCTCTTTAAGTGATACGGTGTTCTGAGATAGCGTGTCGCCGTGTCGCTATAACCAATGAGGACACGTCACGATGACGCTGCTGCTTAACTAGCGCTGTGAGGTGGTGGCGGCATTGCTTCCAGCTACAGAGAAAGAGCAAGAGGGAACAAATCTGACAGGTGTATGATAGTAGAGAGGGACACACGCCTATCGTGTCTGCGTGGGAAAGCTCTCGGAAGCATGTGTGACGCAAGCAGCCCTGCCCCTCGGGGCGTCGAATCACGATCACAGTCTGAATTAAGGCTGACTGACATCTCCCAATCAAAAGTGCGCGTTTGCACTGGCATTGAATGAAATAAAGGAGGCGTTGACCATCCATTTCTTTAAAAGAACTGACTATTTCATGGTACCTTTCTCTCACGATTTACAGTTAAAAAAAAGATTACCACTCGGGGCTATGCCAGTCAGGCTTGTTACCAGCCACACGAGCTCCTTTAACTTTCATTTCAACCTAAGCAGACAATGCAGATAATGCAAATGATACTGTGGAAAGTTCTTTATCAAAATTTTTATTCTGAAGGAAAAAATAAAGTGCTACAAAGAAAACATGCTTGAAACAATGGTCAATAGGCTATGCAGCAACTGTATGCCAGTAATTATCAGAAGTGGTAGAGTGTACAAATAATGTTCACGTAAAACTGTCACTCACAAATGGTAAAATATAGTGATGTCATTTGATGTCTGACAAGGATACCACTGAATTCGAGGTTGTTAACCCAAATACTTCCCACTGTAGAAAAAGAAAACACTACGTTCAATGCCATGCTATGAGATGCGCTGCAAAGCCTGTGGTACTCAGCTGTCACGCTTTCTGGAGCTACGTTTTTCCTGCTGGTACGTCATTTTCAGCCAGTTTCATTATAGCTTCCATAGCACACAATGCATTGGGAACCCCTGTGTTACACTGCAAATGTAGGAACTATCTGGCTTGACACGTCATAAAATGGCACTCTGCACTGGCCCACCCTGTAGTGCTCCACAGACTGGCTTTCCGGACCCTAATATAGTTAAACCTAGAAGAACTGCCCATCCTCTCTTTCGGTTGAGCAACGTTTTATCAAGTTTGCAAACAACGCACGTAATTCTCGGAGGCGATTTTAACTTCCCGGATGTAGAATGGAAGTCCTTTAAACCCGTGTTAAACACAACGTCTTTCCTGTATACTACCTTTAGGGAGATGATTAATGCCCACTCATTATTTCAATTTGTCGAAACGCCAACAAGAATTGGTGGTGACAGTGCAAACATTCTTGATTTATTTTTGTGCAGTAAACCGGATCTTGTATCCTCTGTTGTCACAGTCCCTGGTATCAGCGACCATGAAGTTGTTGTCACTAAAATGTCTTGTAGTGCTAAAAACCGCCGCGCTCAGGCACCCCGCAAAGTGTTCTCATATGAAAAAGGTGACTACCCATCACTGTCGCGTGAACTGGATGCATTTTTTCCTGAGTTCCAATCGCATAGTTCATCGTTAGACATGAATGCGCAGTGGAATTTCTTCAAAACAAAGATAATGTCCTTGACCCAAACTTTCATTCCTTCGTGTATCATTTCGGCCAGGCGACGCAATGATAAACCACGGCTCAGTAGGGAACTCCGATCAAAGATAAATAGAAAGAATCGATTGTATCGAAAGTATTGCCAAATGCCTGATCCTGCGTTGCTTTCAAAAATGAAAGAGATAGGCAAAATGGTGACAAAAGCTATGCGCAGAGCACAAGAAATGTACCTTTGTGATCTAGGCGAGAAACTTAAAACCAACCCCAAGGAAGTGTGGAAATACGTGAAAAATAAAAGTAATTCTAGACCCACTATTCCTGACATCATGGACGGGATAAATTACGAATCTAACACGGAAGCCAAAGCTCAGGGTTTCAATACATACTTTCAGTCTGTGTTCTCGCATCCAGTTAACACATGTAGTCTATGCCAGAATGATGGCTCGCTCCCGCAAATGAACGACATAGAAATTTCAGAACGCGGTGTCGTGCTCTTGTTGGAAAAAATAAATGTTCACTCTGCTCCTGGTCCTGACTGTATATCCAACTTCGTCTTGAAAAACTGCGCAGTGTCTATCGCCCCTTTTTTAACTCTCATGTACAAAACGTCGCTTGAACAATGCGTTTTACCGGCTGATTGGAAAAATGCCAACGTAACCCCAGTATATACAAAGATAAAACAAAAAAGTGTAACCACAGGCCCATTTCTCCGACAAGCGTGTGCTGCAAGACACTCGAACATATCATTTACACAAACTTAATGAATCATCTTCAAAGTAATAACTTCTTTTCCCCATTGCAACACGGTTTCAGGGCGGGTTTCTCGTGCGATACACAACTGGTCGAGCTTACGCACGACATTGCAGCTTCTATTAACTCAGGCCTTCAGGTTGACTGTATATTTCTGGATTTCCAGAAGGCATTCGATTCCGTGTCACATGTGTTGTTGTTGCAAAAGCTTCATTGTCTAGGCATACCTAATGCCCTTCTCATGTGGATTGAGGCGTACCTTTCAGGAAGACAGCAGTGCGTGATTCTTGACGGTGTGTGCTCATCAAGCGTTGGTGTATTGT